CCTCTCTCCCCCCCTCTCTCTCTCTCTCTCTCTCTCTCTCTCTCTTTCTCTCTCTTGTAAAAAGCTTTTGCGATCTCTTCGAGTTTTATCATCCACTATCTGGTTGTATTTCCAATGTACATCCAATCAATATTTTCTCATTTTCAATTCAGGATATAGGATGATAAATGTCATTTATTGCCTGAATCTTACCCAAATTTTATCTATCATAAGTATTTCTCTGCATTTATTTCAATTTAGTTATATGAATTATCATGTTTGACAAAGTATTAATGTAGCAATTTTACTATACACATTCCTTGTTGTACAGCTAGCTTACAATTAATGCAGCGCATGTCATTGCTGAAGAGATTAAAGGTTCACAATGGTTGCGTGAATTCTATATGTTGGAACAGCAATGGAGAATTGATACTGTCTGGAAGTGACGATCAACATCTTGTTCTAACTAATGCACATAATTATGAGGTACACTTATATACCTATATTATCTATACTATCAAGAATTGAAGATAAGAAAGATGCTGTCTTAAAAATTTGTGTTCAAGATTATCTTATATAATGTTTACTCTCTTGGCGGGAGCCTAAATATGTGCATTTATTGTGCATATATTTTAATTTAGCAGCAAAAACCCAGTGATTATAAACCTAGTGATTGACGCGTATTGTCTGACAAAAAAGAAAAGCGCTTCTACTTTTCTTAATTTAAACTTTATTTGTGGACTCTAGTGATCAAAGAAGATTGTGCCAAGGTTATTTTTGATTTTATCCTTGGAAGTTGTATGTCTAGAAAGTTAATTATGCTTGGCAATACTTGGAATATTTTTTTTAACTTCTGACGCCATTGCAAAGATGTACATTTTTACAAAATGTATTTATGTAAAACATAACGAGACGATTATTAAATCTCATTGTTTTACTTTATCTATAGATCAATGTATGTTCACATTTTCCTTATATTTTACATACTTGGATTTTTCAAATCAAATCTTAATTTTACTAATTCTTAATTGTTTAATAATGTTTATATCATAAACAACATATAAAACTATGCTATTGTATATTATATGAAAACAGTATTTATTTTAATGACAAGGTATATTAGTTTATGTGGAGTATGAAGAAAAAGTTGAATAAATTACATTAACGCAAATTCTATAAATACTATATATTACACTAAACATTTTACTTTTTTAAGAAAATATTTTGAATAATTAATTCTAGTCAAGGTGCACATTGACATAGTTAGAGGTATAGATGCTAATATGCCAAGCCTGTATTAGGATCTTCAGATGTGCATATGGTTAATTTTATCGTTTAGTACACTATTATTGTAAATCTTGTTAATTAACTCTGAAATGTATCGCATTGTTCTTTTTTTCAGTGCTATTGGAACAGTGCTTCGAATAACATTTCACTAAAGTGTTACATGATATAATAATATTTCAATTCACGTATATGATTGATAAATATATAGTATTAATGCTAATTTTTTCATATATTTGTGAGATATTTATGTTAAAGAGAGATTTTGTTTATATTTTACTTTTTTTTTTCTTTTTCTATTTAAGGTATTGACGGATTATAAAACAAGTCATAGGGCAAATATTTTTAGTGCCAAATTTTTGCCTAATAGTGGAGATCATCGTATTGTTTCTTGCAGTGGAGATGGTATTATTTTGTATACAGGTATTAACACTTATGGACTATAATTGTACAAAGAAAATTAATAAGATCAAGAATTGTAGTCACGTCATTTTTTTTTATGCAGCACTATCCCTCTTATAATTTACAGATCTGATGAGAAGAACAGAAACGTTCCATAATCAATTTACCTGCCACACTGGCACTACTTACGAAATAGCGATTATACCCGGTGAGCCGCATAGTTTCTTAAGCTGCGGAGAAGATGGGACTGTGAGATGGTTTGATCTCAGGGTAAAGGATAAATGTAGCGCTACGAGATGTAGAGAGGCAAGCATTATTTGTTATAATTTTTGCGTAACTATTTTTCGAAACTATATATCATATATCCAGAATACATTTGAAGCATTTTTTTAGGATGTATTAATCCCATGTCAAAGAGCTGTGACTGCTTTGTCCGTGAATCCTGTCTTGCCTCATCAAATAGCGATCGGTTGTTCTGATAGCACTGTAAGAACGTTTGACAGAAGAACTCTCGGTACACCGGCCACCGGTAATCTTCATTATCGAAACTCTGTATATAAATACATAACTGTATTCACGAAAGACGGAGCACATGTGTATACATGTTTTTTAATCTTTAGGTTGGATAGACGCAGATAGTTCACCTAGACCGCTATGTAGCTTCACTGTCCCAGAATTCGAAGGCAATTCTTACAGGATTACGTCGTTGAGTTACAGTCCGGATGGACAGGACGTCCTCGTCAGCTATAGCAGCGATCATCTCTATTTATTCAGTATCAAAGTAACGCGCAATAATTATAAGACTTCTTTTTCAGTTACATTTATGGAAGTAAAAAATATTGCTTCCATGTTTTTCATCTAAGTGTACATTTATTTTTCACTGACTACTCCTATAACATAATTTATTTTGGAAATTTATATCCAGGATCAAGGTAGTTTGCAATTGCGAAAAGATGCGACAATAGGAAAAGGGAAAGGAAAGAAACATCCGTTAAGATCGCCTCAACCAGTTCGTCGTTTAAGACTTCGCGGCGATTGGTCCGATACCGGTCCTGATGCACGTCCAGAAAGAGAAGGAGGACGTCGCAGTGGTACAGGTAAATTATGTCATTTTCTTTTATGCGCGCGCGCACATATATATATATATATATATATATATATATGTATGTATGTATATTTTACACATTTATATCTTGTGCAAGTAATTTTAACGTCATGTATATTGTTCATTAGAAATCGCTCAGGCAAGGCCGGTGTTGCATACCTCCTTGATGCAAAGAATGACGGACGTGCTCAGCAGAATGTTGAATGACCCAGCCACACGCGCTGCTCTGAGTGGTGGTGGTGAAGATAGTTTGGAAGGTGTCATCGAGCAACCAGAAGGCATCCAAAATGAGAATAATCCTGAATTGAACGCAGAGAGAAGTAGCGACACGATTGAAATGAGCGCAGAGCAAAGCAGTACTTTGGAAACAAGTGGTAATTTTGCAAAATATACATACATATTTCGTACAAATTTCGATGCTTGACCAGCTCCATTTAAGAGTCGTTTTTAGGAAATACAAGCACGCACGCTAACACGATCGAAAGTACAGACATGGATGAAATGATTAATATCGAGAGACTTCAAACGAGAGAAGTTGATCAATCTCAGGAATATAATGAGTTAGCATCGCCAAATGTATCCGCGAGTATAAATGATGATGTTTCTATGGAAACTGAATCTAGTCAAAGTGATCAAGCACAAATTACTTGTGTAAAATCTACAAGTAGTCACGACAGATCTGAGCATGATAATGTGTGGAATAGAAATGAAACTTCTTGTGCGAATATAACTATAAGCAAACAGGAGAATATGATGGAGAACCTTCAGGATAGATTAACAACAATGCGGGACGGTTTCCTCGAACGGTAAGATTTTTAATTTTATTGAGAGCCATTAAGAACTTACATTTTCTTTCTTATATATTTTAATTGATGAATATAAAGATGTGCGCGCGCGTATGTGTAAATATATCTAATATGTCAATTATTGTTTAATATATAGGCATGGCAGTGAACCTGCTGTGAGTTTAACGTATTCTGACAAAAGCTCAACTAGTGCCACAATATCACTTGGTGTTGGCGACGAAATGACTCGCGACAGTTACCACCCAGGTAACTAATTGAAATCCTTGCTTATATCAAATACATATATTAATTGGTATAATTGTCTTCATACAGCAATTTGTGTGTTTGTCAGGACCATCTGGAAGTAGTGATGGGACTTTCGACGCAGGTCCGAGCAATAATCGCAACCATCATCGTTACAATGAAAGTAAGTCTAATTATTGTTTAGTCGCTTTTTTCATCTCTAGCGAATTCTAATCGCTTTAAATTTTGTAAACTATACATATATATATATATATATATAT